AATTTAATCGATACTTAACTGAATCAAAAGATCTCCGTGAAAATGTTTTGCTATGTTAAATTATATTTGACGCAAAAGTATTTTATTTTCGAGCGTTTAAAGTTTGGAATTTTTAATGAAGTATTGGAAGTTTTGTTATTGTATGCACTTGTATGCAATTCAAAATAAAGTCTTAGTTAAGCGAAGTTTTTTGCCGAAGAGACCTTAAAAAGAGGTACGAGTTAGCGAATGGTCCAACTTAACCAGGGTACGACTTAGGGGTTGTCCATTAATTACGTCAACAATTTTTTTTAAATTTTTACCTCTCCCCTCCCCCTTGTTACAATTTGTCAAATTTCCAGAGACTCCTTCCCCCCCCCTCCCCTATAAAATTACGTCAACTTTTCATTACCCCCTTATACAAAAAAACTACGCTACAAAATCAGCCTAATTTTCCGTTATTTAAGGTGGTATCCTGCCATTATTTTGGTGAAAAATAAAAAAAAAATGAAAAATTTGAAAAAATGTTACTCATACAATTGAACATTGTAGAATTCAATAGAAAAATATTTTTTCAAAAATAATGTTAGAATATCAAGAATATTCTTCTCAAACACATCAAGGTATTTTTAAATCACATAGCAACGACCATAGCAACCGTTTTATCCTATAGTCTCTGAAAACTAGACATACCAAGCCTGTAACTATTCTTTTTTTAATGTTTTAAGTTTATATTGGTCTAAGTGTCATAAATCTAAGTTACATTGCTATTTTTAACGGTTTAACATCGTGTTGTTGCCTTTTTGAATTCAGATGAAATAGTGCTTTACACTTTTAATTTTTGTATCTTACCTATTACAGTTAAAAAGTTGTTGAAAAGTATATTATGGCAATAAAAAAAGAATAATAAGACCAAGGAAAAGAAAGTTTAACGGTAATCAGCATAATAATTCCAATAACACCAATAAGCAATTTGATAAAAAACACAGGAAGTTCTACAAGTAGTAAAAAGCTAAAATATAATCTTGAAAAAACATTATTTGATAACGACGAATTTATATTCTTTATGCATTTTAAACAAATGAAAAGCTGTTTTGAAAAGTATGCTACTTGTATTATATGTGGTACAAAGCTTTCCATGTTGCATGATCATTGAAGACACTTGGGTTTTTTCTTTGTTTTTTCAAATTTATTGCAGTGGTTGTGCTTTTAAAGATACACTTTTTTCTTTTCCTGTTGTCAAAAACAATAAACCTGGTATAAATACTAGTGAAATTAATGTATGCAGTGTTATGGCATTCAGGGAGAATGGCAGAGGCAGAGGTGCAATGTTAACTTTTACCTCCATAATGAACATGCCACCACCTTTATCAAAATCTAGTTTTGACTGTTTTAATAGTAAACTTTACAATGCTTATAAATCAGTTGCTGAGCAAAGTTTGAAAAATGCTGCAATGGAAGTTAGGAGAATACTGAAACCTGACTCTAATATGAATGATGTTATTGATTGTGGTGTTTCTATTGATGGTACCTGGCAGCGGAGAGGATATTCTTCTTTGAACGGTATTGTGGTAGCAACGTCTCACGACAACAACAAAGTATTGGATACTGTTACATTATTTAAGTTTTGTAAAGGATGTCAAATTTGGGAAAGAAAAAAAGGGACACTCAAATATGAGCAGTGGAAAGTTAATCATTCCTGCCAAGTAAACCACACTAAATCAGCTGGTGCGATGGAGTCAGCTGGTGCAACAGAAATATTTTGCTCTTCAGTAAATAAATATAACATTCGCTATTCTAAATATCTCGGAGATGGGGACACTACCTCGTTTAGCACAGTTATTGCACAAAAACCTTATAGTGATGACCTTGTTCCAATAAAACTAGAATGTATTGCGCATTACCTGAAGCGTACAGGGAATCGACTGCGTCTTAAAAGAAAAGAATTACGACAGGTAAAACTATCTGACGGAAAAGGTATATCTGGTAAAGGTCGTCTCATGGATAAAGTAATTAACATCTTGCAAAATTATGTTGGAATGGCTATTCGACAAAATTCAAATAGTCTTTTGGAAATGAGGAACTCTGTAATAGCTTCACTTCATCATCGAACTAATTTTATCTCTGAAGAATATCGTCATATGTTTTGCACCAAGGGTGAAAAAAGCTGGTGTAAACGGCAGTCTGATAAAGCTACTGGTCATGTTACATACAAGAAAAAGGTGAACTTGCCCGTTGCCATTATGGAAACGATTAAGCCAGTATTTCAAGATCTAGCAAATACTGATATGCTTGCAAAATGTTTGCATGGCATGACTCAAAATGGAAATGAAGCGTTTAATCAACTAGTTTGGAACAGATCCCCTAAAACTATATTCACCTCAAAAGTTGTTGTTGAAATGCCTGTTTACTCTGCAACCATTACTTATAATGATGGTTTTGCTTCTTCTGTATTTGATGCTCTTAATATTAAATCTGGTAGTTACTTTGAAATTGGTCTAAGTAAAAAAAACTCTAAACGGCTAAAAAATATGAACAAAAAAATTTCAGATGAAACAAAAAAAAAGAGAAAAAAATTAAGATCAATTAGAAAAAACTATTTTCGACAAAAATTAGATAAAGAAACTGCAAAAGATTATTGTGCTGGTGGTTTCTAATGATTTATCTGAGTAGTATACATGATTTATAATTTTAAAATTGATTTTTCTCAATTTTTGTTTTTTGTACGGGTAGCTGTAGCAAAACAATGATATCTCAATAAAAAAAAATTATTTTAGCTTCAAATTTTCAGGATATGTTCATCATTGATACTTTTATTACCTGAAAAAACATTTTGAAAAACTAAGCTTAACCTACAATTATCATATCTAATTAGTGTTTTATCGCTAAAAATAGTTTTTTATATCATTAAGTCTTCCATTTTTGATCGTTTAAATTTTTTTCAAAAATTTTTGATTCAGGCACTAGCTACACTAGTGTACTAGCTTTTTGCAAAATTTAAATCTTTAAAATTGATGTATTCTAAAGATATTTATGTTCTTGTGACGTTAACATTTAACAAAGTCAGCAATTATTTTTATGTTCTTGTGACGTTAACATTTAACAAAGTCAGCAATTATTTTTATGTTCTTGTGACGTTAACATTTAACAAAGTCAGCAATTATTTTTTATTAATTAAAAAAAAAAATTGCATTACGATTTAGATTAACTATTATACTAGTAATTCATCAAAGGTATTTATTATATGTAAAATATAAAAAAATAGAACTAATGGCTGGATACCACCTTAAGCAATGAAACTCTAAAAAAAAAAAAATTGTTGACATCAACTTTAATTGACCTCTCCCCTTGTCAACAATTGTCAAAAAAGTTCAGACCCCCCTCCCCCTTATACTATTGATGTAATTAATGGACAACCCCTTAAGCGAATGATTTTACAATAAGTTGATAGAGAATGTTCAAGGGGAATTGAATATCCGTCTGACTTAGTAAAAGTCCAATTTATCCAGGGTCCGAATTAACGGGATTCAACTGTTATAACTTTGAAGTTTGAATATAAAATAGCTGCATCATCGTAAGTTAACCATCATGTTATTGAGATTAAATTACTCCCTTAACTTTTATTAAAAATAGACTCCATTAAACTATTTTACATTTTTTATAAACTTCTTTGAAACATTTTTCTTTTTTCTCTCATTTTAAATTGAGCCAATATAACTTTTGATAGGTTTTAAAAGTTTTGATTGAAGTTTTTAAAGTTTTGCGTTGCCAAACTGTCGAATCAAATTTGCACAAAAATATAGAACAAAAAAAAAGAAATAACTTTTTGAATAAAAGGTGTTCAAGTCATAGTTCCTGTATAAATGTTGATCAGTATAATATGTAATTTATGGTATTTTTGAGTTAACGAAATTGCCCCACTCTTTACTTCTAAAATTGCCCCCAAAAGAAATATTCCGGTAGACAATCGGAGGCGCAAAGACTGTCTCCTTTCTCTGTGCTAAATTTCAGCTTTATACTCTTTTTGTTCGAGTTAACTCATAATTCCTTCCGACTATACCTTATTTTATTGACACTATTATTCTTTAAAACTTTCTAAAAGTTTTAATAACATATATCATCCAGGTCATATTATAAAATCAGGAAAATTGTTTGGGTAAAATATGCGGAAAAAATCCGGAATATATTTTCCTCTTAATTTTGCTTTTAGCTGAGTTGTAATTTTTTTTTCAAACTTTTTTTAATTTTTGTATGAATAATGAGTGAAAAAGCTTAAAAAATAAATATATTACAAAAATATGCATCTAAACTCGTATGTAATGAAAACCTTTTAGATATCCGGAAAAACTAAAATTTGATAAAAAATACCCGGAATTCTGGAAATATCCGGAAAAAGATAATCCCTGCAATAAAGAATCGTATTTTTTTTACAAGACTACGATTCTTTATAGAAACTTTCATTTGATTTTATTGATTCATAAAAAGATTGAAATTACTTAGTCATCTTTACCTAGTATATAAAAAAAAAAGAATAAAAAAAGAAAAAACGATGCAAAAATATTTGAAAAATGCAATCGAATAGAAAAATACTTTTTGCAAAATATTTTTCAAATAGAGCAATTAAAAATGCTTAAAGATCCTGAAATCTAAATCAGACAAAAAGTGTTTTGGGGTTGAAAATTTGAAATACTGAAAGCAAAAAAAAAATTTGTATTTGGAAAGTAGTAAAACATAGTTAATGTAAACTTTGTTTAATTTTGAAACTCCTAGACTATGACAAAAACATTCATTCATAAAGGAAAACTAAATTACAAAAAATCCATGTAAAATATTCTTAAATAAGTTTTATGTATCTTAAATGATTTTAATAAGAACATAAGCAAAGCAAGTATTTTACATTTTAAAATAAACATTTTATGTTCATGATTAAGTTACGTTACAACAAAACGGTTTATAAAATTTTGTAGTAACTTCAATCTCAATTAACTCCAATTAAATTTGGCTAACAAAGAAGAAAACTATATTATTATAAATTATATTATCTAACTAGCATACAAAAGAGGCAATCTTCAATTCAAAATAGAATTTCTTATTTCTTACCAACTGTAACCAGCTCAAAAAACCAATTTTTAAAATTGAAATTCATATTCTTGAAAATATTTATATATTATTTTTTTTTTGAAACATTTTTTAAATTCTATTTTTCTATTTTTACATTTGTGGAATCAAACCAGCAGGAGTTATATTATCACCTCCGCCAACAGTCTGTTTGACATCAGTGCAAACCAATACAGGTGCTAAACAGAGTTCATAATCATCCTCATTCCAGCAAGAAATAGGCGAAGTCTCATTAAAATATACACGTTCACTTGGTGTTTTTAGAGACAAGGAAAAAGAGTCATCCATAATTATTTTTGCATTACTTAAGTTAATTTCATCAACTCCACAAACATGGCGATGAGCCACTAACGAAGCTTTTGCCGATCCAGCTTTGTTATTTTTCCACTGTGATCCTTTTTTAATAAGAATAGCTTGAAATGAAAGTGTATGAACGTGAATTCTTGATAAACCTCTGTGACTAACTGTTTTACTATATTGATAGAGTTCTCTAATATCATCTAATATAATTGCAGTTTTTGGATTAGCATCAGAAACTGTAACTATTGTTCCTTTATTAACCATACTCGCAAGATTTGGCAATTCTTGCTCGTTCATACCTAGTGAATCAACATATGGCAAAACATTCAACAATAAAGAACGTATCATCTCAGCTTCGCTAAATGATGCCATTTCAAAGTGAATAAGAGATGATTTTGATGTAGAATTTAACATTTGGGCAAGCTTTAACATACGCTCTTCTCTAACACCCTTTTCAAATGGAAAATTATCTAACATTTGCAATGCACTTACAATTATTAAACGTGGATTGATTTGATTTAGTTTATTGCTAAAAGCTTCTAAAGATAAAATAAGCGGGTTTATTTGATCACTGTGTACAATAAAACGATTAGCTCTTGGTGCAACAAAGTCTCCCCACTTATCGCCTACTTTGTATTCTAAAATAAGATGAATATCTTCAGGTTCATCAATGTGCTCCGAAAACTGGATGCTAGGGGAATAAAATGATCTTAATTTATGAGATGCACGAGCACCAACTAAAATATTTTGAAAACCTTCTCTGTAAAACCTGTGACTAATTACAGGTGCATTTCCACCTCCAGCCCAACGAGCTGATTGAAGAAGTTCAGCTTTGGCAACCATTTTATTCAGAAGATCTTTTGGAATAAAACGCCTAAGAAAGAAATTAAAAAAAAAAAATTATTATTATTAAAAATTATTACTATTACTATTAAAAAATTACATTGAGCTATTAGTAGAAAATTTTTAATTTTTAAGTTCAACATTTAATAATCTTACTCGACTGCAGCTCCTTGGGAGAAAAACAATGCAAACATCTCAGATAGTTCATCTAAGTTTTTAATTTTTTCATGATACTTTTTTTCTTTAGGTGGTTTTTGAGTTATTGCATTCATCAATGATACACCATCCACAAGTAAATCAAGGCAAGATCCAAATCCAATTGCAACAGGCAAGTCTGTAGAAATATTTACACTTTTTTCTTGCAATAAAAGAGCATTTAAAACATTTTTTAACCTTTTATACTCTAAGTTTTTATTGCTTTTGTAGTAAAAATAAACGATTCCAATCAAGACAGGACCTAATATCTGCCATAACCAAGATTTACTTTTTTTGTTATCTTCAGAGGTATTTATTTTTTCCATTGCCAAGATGTTTTTAGGCAATGATTGTTCTTGGTAAGTCCGGAGATAGCAGAGATTCTCAAATGCGCGTAGTTTTAAATCATCATGCTACGTTGATATCCGGTAAAAAGTTCGGTTTTTTTTTAATCAGAACGCAAATCTACAAAATGACGGATATTTAGTATAAATAAATTATGAACAATGATTTAAAAGTTTCTATATTTTTAATAACTTAGCACTGTTGTTATTAATATATAGTAAAATAGTGTAAATGTTTTATATAAAAAAAATAATAGTAGTAACCTTTTTTAACTATATATAGTAATAAAAATTAACTGAAGTTATTATATGAAACCTCGCCCAACACGACTGTTAACTAAAAACACTAATGACAAATAAAATGTTAAAGCTATTTGTTTTTTGTTTTTTTTTCAAAGAAATTGTAAATAATGTTATATGAATATTTTCATTAAAATATTAAAATTCATTTTTGTGAGGAAATAAAAAATCTTGTAATTAGAAACAGAAACCACATGTATTAAAATAAACAATGTATCACATCGTTTTTATGAAAAGTTAACTAAAAAAAAACATGCAAAATCTTACGCGTTGCAATTAAATGCTACTAACTTAATCGTGATCTTAAAAAACATTATAATAAAGTTGAAGCCAAATGTTTGGAATCACCTAAAAAATTTAATAATATTTAGCTATACACCAAATCATAGGCGATTAAAAAATAAACAGCTGTAGTTTCTTCCGGTGTTTAGTTTTACCATTCTAATTGCTTAGCAATACTATATCGCTTGTTTGTTTACATTTTGATAGGAAAAATTATGGAATTATCTGAAATTGTAAAAGATCCATTTGTAGCATTAGATCTAAATTATATCTTATACTATAGTTTGACCTTTAGAAATAAATCATCAAAAGAAATTTCAAAGCTTGTAAAGTACACATCAATGTGTAATAAGATACTTAGTAGATATAGAGCTTCAGGGACGTTTTTCTCACAAAAAGCGGTAAACCAAAAAAACAACTGACAGATTGTTGAGACATAAGAAATATGTTAAAAATAAAAATTTCAAGCTCCCATCATTTGAAATCAAGAAGGAATTATAATATAAAAATGCTGTTTACGTAAGTGCAAGATAAATCAGGTGTTTTTTCTCAAAGATTAACAAAAAAATCTGCTATGAATGACAATCAACGCAAGAAAAGGTTCGATGTCGTTTTTTACGTAAACATTGAATAAAGAAAGACTGTAAGAAAGTAACGTTTTCCAACAAAAGTACATTCAAGCAGTGTTGCACATTATGCAACTATATGAGAAGACAAATGTATATATAAAAATGTATATATATATATATATATATATATATATATATATATATATATATATATATATATATATATATATATATATATATATATATACATATATATATATATATATATATATATATATATATATATATATATATATATATATATATATATATATATATATATATATGTATATTTATATATGTATATATATATATTTATATATATATATATATATATATAAGTAAGGCGGGATACCATCCCGTTACCTTTTTATAAAATATAAACCATCCTACCACCAAGCTTAAACCATCCTACCACCAAGCTTAAAAGTTTCACTGGCTTTTAGATATACTTTTTCTTTGTAATCTGGATTGTTTGATTTAATGACAGCCTGATAAACAATATTATTTGACAAGCAATGGTTGTTCTGACTCCTTTACAGATCCTAATAAAGTTCGAATATAGTTGATAATACATTCTGTGGCAGAGTAGAGTGTATTGATGTAACAGCGCTCATAACGGGTGATGCGGAAGTTATCAAACAAATCTGAATTTAATTATTTGAGCAAAATAATTAGTTTTTGTGGTATTATGCGTAGGCATAAACATTCATTAAAATATTAACTTTATTATTTGAAACACAATTATTTAAAATGAGGTTAAATGCAGCTGAACAAGAGTCTTTTTGAAAGCGGCTCAAAATTTTTATTGTAAATAAATCTAATATATATATATATATAAAAAGAAAGACTTGCTCAAAGTACAACACATGATAACCTAAAAAGACTTGAAACTGTTTAATCCTTTTCTGCTAAAAAGCACTCTGGTCATCCATCATCCTGGACTAGAGAAAAGAAAGCCGAATTAACAAGATTTTTCAACAATGGGTTTTAAGTTCGGTGTAAATCAATCGACAATTGGTTGTCAGTTAAAAAAATTAATATTAAATATAGAAAACGTAAAAATTCTCCAAAATACACTATAGAACAACAATTAAAGTGAAAGAAAAAAAGCAGATTACTAGTTAACCAACACTAAATCGCTTCTGGTCATCGATGATAAATAATATTTTTGTTTTGCAGCGGACAACATGCCTGGAAGTTCTGGATACTACACAAACAACAACAACAAAAAATGCCCAGAAAGTGTTCGTTTTATAGAAAAAGAAAAATTATTAATGTGGATAGCTATATTTGACCGTGGTATGTCCGAGCCATTTTAACTATTTATTTTGGCCAGATTTAGCAAGTTCTCATTATTCTAAAGGTTCTCTAAACTGGATGGGCCAATATGTCTATTACGTTGATAGAGAATCCGAGCTCCAAATGCACCTCAAGCAAGACCCATTGAAACCTTTTGGAGACATTTGGCACAGAAGGTTTATGAGGGAGATTAGCAAGCTTCAACAGAGCATGTTTTGATTGATTTAATTAAATTAAAATTACAATAAACCGATTTAAATTTTTTACAGTCGCTTATGAAAGACGTCAGACCAATATTGAGATCAATTGAAGATGGTGGCGTTTTTTCATTTAAAAAATAACTTATTTTTATTAAAAGATACTTAAAAGATATTTAAAAAAAGTTTAATAACAGTTTGTTTTTTCATTTATAAGTAAGTTATTGACGTTTTCATTTTGTCTCATAACTTACGCATCACCCGTTAAATATCTAATTAAGACAAATAGTCACAAATAGATAAAGAAGATGTAATATTCGAGATATAAAAAATATATATAAAAAATTCAAGTTAAAAAAGATTGTGATAATCAGTCAGCAAAATTAAAAATATATTTTTTTGTTTGAAACTGAGATGACTTTAATAATTTTGTCATATTTTAAATTGTTTTTCTGAAAAGAATCCTATAGCTTAGGTTTTTGATATTTTATACAATATTCTTATTTTTATTTAATATATTTTATACAATATTCTATGTACTTATTTTCTTTATTAGACAATTTAAATGTAAAAAATGTAAATAAGTTTTAGATTTGTTGAGTTACGTACGGGTGAACTCGCTATGTCATACATTTAATAATTTTTGACCGTATAAATATTGCTTAACAATAATTAACACTTCCCTGTGGGAAAAAAGACGTCAAAAAGACGTCTTTAAAAGTCTTATTTACGATGTCTTTAAGACGTCTTTTTTTTATTGATTATGCAAATCTAAAATACATCTTTTTTCGACATCGAAAAGACGCATTTTTTTATCTTAATCTTGCTAAGAAAAGACATAAAAAATGCGTCTTTAAGACGTCTTTGTTTATCAATTATGCACTTCTAAAAAAGTTTTTTTGCTCGGGGTAGGAACGACTTTTTTGTCATACTTATTAGTATACTATAGTATCCTATACACTATAGTTTTCCTACTTTTCATATATAAAAAGCTGTTTTTATCAAATGAAAATGATAATAGCTCACCATACAAAGTATGACAAAAAGCTCTTTCCGATACCGAGAAAAAATCTCTTTTAGATGTCAATATAAAAGAGGAAGCATTTTCTACATCTTTTATATGTTTAAATATAGGAGAATAATTTATAAATAAAACAACAGTATTGTTCAACATAATATTTTTTCATCTTTCTCTTACTTTTGTGTTTCTTGAGCGATCTCTGTTTCTTGGAGTTGTTTAATAAAATTAACTATTTCACGTCGAGAAATCCTTTCATACAAGCTGATTACGACTTCTAGCTGGTTACGACTTCTAAAAAAATGAGTGAACATAAAAAACTGTCTGTTGCTTAAATGTAATACAAAAAAGCAAATGATTCAAAAAGGGCTGATTTTTTTAACCCCCTCATGTTTCCAGCGTGGTCTTTTCATTTTGAACCCACTAGGTTAGATTGGGACAGGAGTCAAACGGTAAACAGTCTAAAAATATACAAAAATGAGTGTGCTAAAGAAATTTACAACCATCAAAATGACTCTATAACGATGTATTTTATTATGTAGTACTTAAATCAAGCTAAACATTTGCACCTCTCAGATTTGCTATAAAAGCCAAGTTATTGAAAACAGATATTGATATTTTTCTGTCTTCTATGACATGACTTTTTAATTGAATTTTGCTGAAATTAAGTGTTGTAGACTCATAACAATTTAAAAACCCGTTATTGACTAAAGAATATCAAAACAAAAAGATAATTCATCTAATAGACCTTGGGAATTATTCATTTCAACTAGATAAAAGTATTAATCAAAGCACTATTTTAGCCTGAAACATAATGATGCTTTACATAACAACATAAAATCATAAAAGCTGGCGACATCATTAGCAACACAGATGAAATACACACAAACAAAAATGAAGACTAGAAAACTGCAATGATGTTTAGATATAAAAAACTTTCCAGTATCATTTTCATTTGGTCTTTTGTATACAAACAAACAAAACAAAAAGTTATGCAAACAGTTCTAAAGATAAATCTGTTGTCATTATGTGCAATTTTTTACTTGCTTTGTTAATGACCGACAACAATTAACAAGAAAATAACAACTTTAATATAAAAGTTAAAGAGCCAATCTTTTGTATAAACAATTTTATTATTCAACTAAATAAAAACAACAAAATTATTCAGATCATTTAAAAATATATATAAAGAAAAAATGCAAGCCTACTGAATGCTTCTTCTTTTCTATGGTTCGTTTCACTGGCACTTGAACAAGTAAATATAGACAAAAATTGTTTACAGGTTTTCTTTTTTGGCTGAAAATGAATATTTGATTTATGTAATAAATATGTAATAAAAAACATAATATGTATATTATGTAATATGTAATAAACAACGTTCTTCAAGCACAACACATTATAAAATTAGTCCAAA